GAGAGAGAGAGAGAGAGAGAGAGAGAGAGAGAGAGAGAGAGAGAGAGAGAGAGAGAGAGAGAGAGAGAGAGAGAGAGAGAGAGAGAGAGAGAGAGAGAGAGAGAGAGAGAGAGAGAGAGAGAGAGAGAGAGAGAGAGAGAGAGAGAGAGAGAGAGAGAGAGAGAGAGAGAGAGAGAGTATGAAAAATATGCTTAAAATATGACCTATAATTTGTCCCAGATGGTAGTTCACCTAGCTATATGCCTCCAATGTCTGGCTATGATCCTTCAATTGGCTTCCGTCTTGTGCCAACTCTAGAGCTATTCATTTACCTCCTTCAACTTCCCATAGGGCTCCTCCAATCCTCTGACTCTCTTTGCTAGTCTGCAAGCCCACTCTCACCTTACTCTTTTTATCGCCACCTCATTGATTTATGTGATAATTTATACTATATTACTATTCATATAAGATCTCTTATCATAATTAGTTTTATAGATATTATTTAATTCTTGATTTTGTATGCTTTCTATTAGAAGCTTTTTTAGAATTGTTAAAATGTGAATATATAGTGCTCGATTTTCCAGTTCTTATTATGGTATCAAAACTATAGTTTTTATTTACTTGAAATTCCATATTTGTAATCTTCATTGCATTATCATGATTTTGTAGCCGTTGTTGTTTTATTCTTTTGCTTCATTTTATTATTTCGATACTTATTATTCAAGCCCTTATAGATTGTCTTAAAAATGGATAATTTTTTTAAAAAAATCTACTCCTAGAATTGAATGTAAAAAAATTTGAAGTTTCACACTCTTTACATAGAATATATAGAATGTGAATATATAGTGCTCGATTCTCCGGTTCTTATTATGCCGTTGTTGTTTTATTCTTTTTCTTCATTTTATTATTACGATACTTATTATTCAAGAAATGGATAATTTTAAAAAAAATCTACTCCTAGAATTGAAAGTAAAAAAGAAGTTTTACACTCTTTACATAGAATCTACATGTAATGATAAAAATACATAACATGCCCATTAAGAGAGATTTGGTTGTGATGAAAGCATGCTAAAAGCTCTATGAAATTTAATCACAAATTTGAAGATGCTTCAAAAGACACAATAATAATAATAATAGTAATAGTAATAGTAATAATAATAGTAATAAAATTCTTATCAAATTTTGGAGGAAGATTTGTTTACTTATAAGATATTGGACTTGATATTAAATTCATTGTTAGTGTGACAAGTCAATTCATGCATAATTCTAATGAATCACTTCTCCCTTGAATCTTTAGATAAATGCCAATTATGTATGTTCTATGGTTGGCAGAAGGCCGACTTTAGGATATTGCTTATTCTTAGGTGGTAAGTTCACATCTGGGAAAAAGTAAAAAAAGAAGAAGTAATAAGATATAGCGTAGATGCTAAATTTTGATCTATGTCATCAGTAATCTAGTAATTGCTATGAGTAAAAATTATTCTGAAAGATTTAAAGGTTGAATGAAAAGGCCCTATTAGATTCTTAGGATATCAAGTTAGCTGTTAATGTTTTAAATAACCCATGCAAAATAATCATATATGAAATATATTGAAGTTGATTAACATTTAATAAAGGTGAAACTTGACAATAATATAATTTGTCCTCTATTTTTTACTATAGAAGAACAATTGCTAATATCTTCATCAAATGATTATCAGGAGTAATCTTACAAAAATTATCAATCAAAATTGGAATAAATAGTATATATTCATTCACTTGAGGGGGAGCGTGAAAAGTACATTAAAATCTGACTTGGAATCTGCCATGGATAGTTGTTAGCGCAGTGATTCCTTCCATCATCATGGCTATTCACCTCCTAGCTACCTTTCACCTGCTGCTAGCTCCCCATCTGGCTTTTTACTTACTCCATTACTCCAACAAGCTCCTGCCAGAGTGGCAACCTTCCCTTCATCCTTGTTCTTTCCATTGCCAACCTCCCCTATCCATCCTTGTTCTTTCCTACCACCTCACCAATCCATATATGCTGTTATATTGTACTTGACTGTAGAGCTATCATTTTGTCACTAATTATATGTATTTTTTATTAGAATTTTTAAAAGATTGCATAAATTATGTATAGGTGGAATGAAACACTTAACCAATTCTCCAATTTTTTTTAGAGGGCACAAGAAGCGAAGAGCAGGTCTCATGCGATTGACTAAAGTACAAGATGAACTTTCTTGAAAGTTCGTTGACTTAGGTTGTTTGATTAACAAATGAGGCTTCATTATCAGTTGTTGAAGCAGAGGGAAAGATTTAGCAAATCTTAAATATTTGAAAGGATGCCTAGCTCGCATCTTTGCAAGCAGTGGATGAATACAGGAGGTCCTTCACATATAAGTGTGAAGTGTGTGAGCATGCAATAGAGGCGCTTGATTGTCTTCTATATATGAAGGTTAAGAGGAGCTTGAGTTGTCACGTGCAGAAAAAAAATCTATCAAGCTTCCATAAAAGTTCACTTAGTTGAATGAAGGGCATAAATGGCCTTGAAAGGGGCTGCTATGGAAACTGGCTGTTTAACAACTTGTAAGAAGAAGATAAATCTGATGCGATCTTGTTGAGTGGAATTGTAGGAGAGGATGACCTAAATGGTGTAGAAGGTCCTTGAAAATAGTTGGTCCACTATTTGAAAGGATGCCTAGCTCACATCTTTTCAAGCAGTGGATGAATACAGGAGGTCTCCCACAAATCCGTGTGAAATGTGTGAGCATGCAATAGAGGAACATGATTGTCTTCTAGATATGAAGGTTAAGAGGGAGCTTGAGTTGTCACATGCAGAAAAAATTCTATAAAGCTTCCATAGAAGTTTACGTAGTTGAATGAAGGACATAAATGGTGTGAAAGAGGCTGCTATGAAAGCTAGCTGTTTAACAACCTTTAAGAAGAAGATGAATATGATGCGATCTTGTTGAGTGGAATTGTAGGAGACGATGACCTAAATGTTGTAGAAGTTCGTTGAAAATACTTGTTCATCTTTTCCTGCTCATTTTTCTTTTTTGGGAGGGACCAATTTGCTATAAAAAGGGGCCATGTGAGTAGAGCTTTAGAATTGTTGTGGTAACTTCAGTGAAATGAAGACAAGTTCTACTCTATTGTTGATTTCTTGAAAGATGAAATGAAGTCAAGTTCTACTCCATTTTTTATTCTTGAAGCTTCTAAATTGTTTTTCTCCTTTATGATCCATGTAGTTATAGATGACTTGCCATGCTTTATCATGAAATCTATAATTGTGAAATTGTGAGGTCACCTGCTTGGCAAAAAATGATTTTTTTAGGAGTTAATTGCACTGTGTTGTTATTTGTTTGTGCTTTGTAGATGTGCAACTTTCTAGAAAAAAAGTAGTGTGGCATAGAGGTTTGGCCTCTTAACTCTTCTGGGTGGGGTTTAGTTGTGATAGATTTTGGCTCTTCCAACTTTGAGTCGCTATAATAAAACATTGCCTTTATCTAGAACATTAAATACTTGATCTTAACTTTTGTAAGATGTAAAAATATCATTTGATGCGTTCTTCTTGTCCGATAGAGCTCAATTACGGAAAAATTTCTAGTATTGTGTTGTGGAAGTGAAAATTCTGTCGTTCGTTTATTTTCAAAAGTCATTTAAATTTAATATTATATATGGAGACAAGGCCG